CTGCTCGAAGGTCTTGATGTTGACCGGCTGCTTCGGCGGCACGGCGCCACTGCGCTCCTTGACGGCGTGCTCAAGAGCGGGAAGCGTGCTCCAGTTCGGCATGGCTGTAGCGTTGGCGGATTCGACCGTAACGGTATTGTATTTGCGTTTCAGTCTGCTGTTCGCTAATGCAAGGGCGAACCGTCGGTGTGGCGTCCTTTTAAGGGCTTGAGTTGATGCGGTGATGATCTGGATCGTGATGGCGACGGTGGGTTTTGGGGTTTATATGCTGCTCTTCCAGTTCGCTTTATTTCTTTTGGACGGTGGAGGGTGGCCCCTTATATATACTTATAGGAAGGGCTCCTCGATCGTGGCTTGAAAACGGGCGAAGCAGAAATGACGCGGCCCTCTGTTTAAACAATGGCAAGGTGGACACGCGCGGCACTTGACGCGCGAACCGCCCCCCAGTCATAATGAAGTCTCAAGAGAAGGATTACAGCACAACGGCCGGAGGCCGCCACGACACCATGTAATTAGACGGCAGAGTTTTGGGCCCCTGATTGGATATTGTACATTATGTTTGCCGGGTTGTAGCCCGTGAAGCTTTGTGTTTGTCGTCCATTCTGGCTGTAGTCCGTAGTGGACCGGTGGTACGACGAGATGGATGATTGTGGTATGGCCGCGGCCGTTTGAAATGCGCCAGCTGTGGAATCCTGGTAGTATCCGCTGTAACCAGCCGAGCCGCCGATGCCCCGAGCCGTGCCCGTGGTCGAAGAGTTGAGCGGTGTGGACCGATACCTATCGGTCGACGTCGATGCTGCGTACCTACGCTGCCGCGCGGCGTCCTGTATCGGCTGTTGCGTGTATCTCTGGTTGGATGTAGCAGGATGGACAGGCGGTTCATTCTGCTTCCGTTTTAGACCGGCGTCCTCCATGCCCCGCTGATGTTATCGTAAAGGGCCGGGTGGCGGTGGCTCAGGCGGTGGGCGATTTGGTGAGGCCGGAATGTCACTTTCGGTGAAGGTGCGATGCCGTTATGGAGTGGGATGTAAGAAGGAAGAGTAGGGGAGAGGGCGGAGGATTAGGCCGGTAAACTAGTCCAGGTGAGCGGATGAGAACGCTAAGGTTAGCGGGTTGACTCGGGCCGTGTCGATTTGCCTTGTTGGTCGAGGTCCCGTTGGGCGTGTGTCGGTACTTGCTTGCGCAAGGGAACCTGACGTTTCCACGAAAGCTGCCGACGGGTCAAGCGAGAGAGAAAAAGAAGTACTCGGGCAGGTGTCAATATGTGTAGTCGGAGCCGGTGCTTGACGCTGGGAGCTCCTATGCCGTACGTAGGTGACTCGGGGGTGGTACCGTGGCAGGCTTTTTAGCTCGAATTGCAATCGAGTCGCGTAATAATAGCAAACGTAGTGACAACGAAATTAGTGGGTAATGCAGCGGCGTTTAGACGACAGTTGCGCTACTGAACCGAGACTATCCTGGCCGGGCGCGAACAACGATCTCTGCACATGACAAGCGCGACCGGGGAAGAAAGACGTTGGGGTAGGGTTGGATCGGTGAGCCTCGAAACTGCCTTTTGGTGCTAGCAGTGTCACCGTCTCGAGGCGATCTTGCAGCAGGTTGGGGCCCAAGATTGAGCCCGAAATGGGGGGGCCTGAGGTTGTGAATGAGGCGTGCACTCTGGGGGCGTTGATGGCTGGGCTGCTGAACAAGACGAGCCAGGAGGTCGCTAGTGGTCGTTACACCAGCACCATATACAGCCTGGCGGCCGGTTTATAGCAGCCGGGGACGACACGAGGACAAAAAGAAAATGGCAACCTGGTTCAGGTTGGGGCCAGGGGCGCGAGGCAATGGAGGGGGCGTATATGATAAGGGGTATGGTACACAAAGCTAGCAAGGACCCAGCCCAAGAGCCTGATGAGGAAATGGAAGTCTAAGGCAGGGTGTCGCACAGAGACGCCCAGGGCGACGACGAGGGTGGAGTGCAGTGCCATTGGGTCGCATGAGGGAGTGAGGATCCAGACCCAAAGAGAGGCTGAGGATTCATCTACCGTGACTATTGGGGACGGGATCGAGATGGGTACGAGTGCGTACGGGTGGGTAGGCATAAGCAGAAGCAAAGATTTAGGGGTGGATGAATGGATGAATGGGTGGATGGATGGGTGGATGGGTGGAATAGCTCCACCGAGGGAAAAAAAATGTTTCGTTATTTAGCGTAGCCAGGGTCCATCGCGCAAGGCAATTTGGCGCCCACTAGCTCTCAACCCTGTTGATGTCACGTACCTTTTCTAGGTTGCGTCCGCTTGCCCGTATGACCGTGCGGCTATATGAGCCTCGAGACTGGGAGAGATGGACCAGGGTCGGCGCCAGTGCGAGGCAGGTTGACGGTGTTTGCTGGTGCTCAGGATTAAGAATAGTCAACTGGACTTTTTAGCAAAACGCCCAAGGAGCGCTCCTCCCTTAGGACCGAGGCCCCGAGAGTAGAAGACAAATCTGTTGATGCAGGTGTCTGAACAAGCTACAGGGTCATGCTAGTAGGTAGGTTAAGCTTGTTTTTTTTCTCTGCAGCCGAGTGAACCAAGTGCGGTGCGGGTAATCTTGGAAAGTGGGCGAGGAGGGAGAGAAGCTGCATTGGTGGCTGCACAGGTGGCTGCAGAAAAGTACACTACCAAGCCATTACTGGGGACCAACGCCAGATCTCAACTGGGCCGGGATGGCTTGACTTGGAAGAGCTGGTAGTTGCCTCTGTTGGTTAGTGAGCCCGTTCCTTGATGCAGACTGCGGGCGTTAACAGGTATTGTCCGAGAAGGATACTAAAAGGGGCAGAAAGGGGCAAAGGCGCAGGGGCAAGAAAATGGCGTGAGAAAGGTGAGTTAAGGAACGGAAAGACAAGGCATGGTGGAGGTGACGAGGGTGCTTCGCATGCAAGTCTCTTCCGGAGCGAGCGTGCTGATGAAGGAACGAGAAAGTGGTATTTTTTTCTTTTCCCCGGGCTTCATTGGAGCTTCTTTTAGGCGAAGTCGATAGCCCCCAGGCCCAGGGCAAATGGGGTTGCACTTGCGAAAGCTGACAAGAACGGCGAGCGCCCAAGGCCGCTATCCACACACCACCCCCTCGGCTTCAGTTCCTCCAACAGCAATTGGCCAGCATCTTTTGCCGTTCTGCCTCGAGTTGGTCGTCGTGGGACCAAACAAGCTTGCCCGGCGGTGGCAGCCAGGGGCGGGGCAGGCAGCGGACGCGAATCCGAGGCCTGGTACCGGCCCACCGAGCGAGGAACCTGTTGCCTGTGCCGTGCTCTAAGTTCCGCACGGTACCGCCAGTGACCTAGAGCAGTCGGACGTCCTCGAGCGGCGAATGCGCACAGGAAATTGAGCACCTTGCGGGCGGCGACACCCTGCCAATCCCAAACGGCGAGCCAGGGCGCGGTCCGCGTTGCGCAGGCCAGTTGTCACACGGGACCTACGCCACTAAGGAGAATGTCGGCTTGGAGAGATCTCTGTATTATAATAATTCTCTCAGGGCCTCAAGGAGATGCTTAAGGAGTCAGAATCTCCTCAAGGAATCCCTTCGAGAGGCGCCCCCTATATAAGCCTCTAGGCGGCCCGTGTAGGGTCCGCATCTACTTGAGGGGTTGACCTGTCAGGATTGCAATCTGTGAGGGGTCAGCCCACGACCAGCGAGGGTCTTTGTGTCTGCCCGAAGCGGCCCAGTCGCTGGGTGCTCCCTTATCATGGCTGCCTCCATTGGCCTCCTGTTGGCCCCAATCGGCCCAGTCTCGGTCCCGAGGGCGATCCCCGTGTGACAGGCTCGGAACAGTTCGACAATGAGGGACGCCATTTAGTCGGATACGGCTTCGCTGTTTACCGGAACGGCCAGGAGATCGCAAACGGCTTGGCAGGGCTGGGCGGACCCCGCCACGTCTTCGACGCAGAAACGGTTGGCGCGCTGCGTGGCCTTGAAGCCGCGGCACAAGTCGCAATGGGCATACATCCGGTTCTTGTTGAGATGACAAATGTCACATGCCTCTGGCTAGTGACTAGGAGCATGAG